CCCTCACGAAAAATTATCTGTTTCTTAACCGGCGCTGTCGCTGTACATGTGCACGTTAGTTATGTTTCTAGACGAGAAGTATACTGACCGCATCCAGTATTTGCGGAAGGCATGCAGGGGATCCATTGCGCAGCCCGGCCCTACACCAGATTCATGTGCGTCTTTTTCTGTCGCGACAATTGGGGGCTGCAGGCATGGCCCGTTTGCCCACATGAGTCGAGGGGTCTAGCCTGGATCGGCTGCGCTTCCACGAAGCGGGGAATGCAAAGAATTGGTCTAAACCACTGCGAAAGCCCTGCTTGTCCACGGACAAGGCTTCAAAGGCTGGGTGCGGAGCAACGTTATAGGCAGCACTCCATGCTGCCGCCCGCGGCTGGGGACTTAGCCCAGCGGCACAAAATTGCATCGGTGGCTTCTCAGAGAAAGGCACAGAGTGGAACCTGCTCCGGTGTTAGAGATGACTATCGCCTTCTGGGAAGCCACATCGGCTGGCAAAGGGCCAGCCCGCGTCAATTGGAAGACAAGAGGTCCACTTCCTGAGCTTCGGAGTCGGCGGAGTCCAAACAGTGCATCCTTCTACCTGTGATGAGTGCCATCACGCCGACGCCCCACTTCAGGACGGATGCTGTACACAAGCAGAGCAAGGCCAAACGGACTGCTCGCTCCAAAACTCCTCCCAAAAACTTGTTGCTTAGAGGCATTTCACTGGCTTAGTTGAGCCTCTCGACGATGTCAACATACTCCTGCCAAGAGCAGATGTCCCAGAAGGGCTTGCCGCTCGCCTCCCTCGTCCACTTCCTGGGTACAGGGCCGCAGTCACCACAGCACACGTTGACAGAAGAGTGGTGTGCCAGCGTTCCCGTTAAGTTCCGGGCCGGTGCAGGGCGTGGCACATGAAGATGGCGGTCTTGATGTCCGTGATCAGCGACGTGCCTGAGTCCACAGCGCCCCGACGGATCCTGAAGCCGTCCGTGAGAGCATCCGAGTCCATGGAGTCGGGCACGTTGATGACCTCAGGACAGAACGGAGGAGCTTCGAGGCAAAGATGAAAAGAGACAGAGAGAGAGAGAGAGAGAGAGAGAGAGAGAAGAGAGACAGGGAGAGAAGGACAAGAGGAAGAGCAAGAAGGAAGCTTGAACAGCCTTTCAAGCGTAGAGAGGAGAGTTGTTGCGATCCCGGAACGGGAGAAGCAGGCAGAGACAGAAGAGAGAGAAAGAGAGAGCGAGAGAAGAGACGGTGAGATCGAGAGTTCAACTCGAAGCGGGCTGCAACCGAAAATTGCCATCCGAGCTGCCAGGTCGACTTTGCGTCCCTGCAGGAGCGTGGCGGCGTTCGGCTCCCTCTTCACCAGAGGCTTGAAGACCATGCTGCTCTGCAGCCCGGCGCCTGCAGGAGGTGCGCCGGCGCAACGCCCGATTTACGGAATCGCGACAGCCGCCTGCCTACGAGGTGCTCATGCGTGCCCTTGGTGGCGTAGAGGGAATAGCCTCAGCCACGGCGAATCTGCGCTGTTCTGTTTTTGCGGCCTACAATCGACTTCACCGAGTGGCCCATCTCCAGGAGCTGCCGGGCCGCCCCGGAGCTCACGAACTCGCTCTTCGCTGCCGGGGAACCCAGCGACAAGAGGATGCTCCTGGGACAACGCCATCGGCGGATGAAGGCAAGGCAAGAGGGCAAGAGGGCTTTTCTGATCTTCTCTGCCAGCAAGCGGCTGCGAGGGAAGCTTGAAATTCGCGGCCACCATGCTCTTCAGGAACGCCTCGTAGGCGTTCATGCCGAAGCCTCGACGCACACGTGCCAAAACAAGCTTCGGAGAAGTCGCTGAAGCGAGTAATGTGATAGCGGCTGCTTAACGCAGTCGTTTAAACAGGAGACCTAGCCAAAAAAAATCAGTCCAAGCAGCAGGCTACCTCACCTGTGGAGGACATCTCCACGCCCAGCCGAGGATCGGAGTTCTTCAAGCGCCCGAAGGAAAACCTGACGTGACTCGAAAGATAATCATAAGGCCGGTTCAAAGACCCCTAAACCCTAAACTTTCCCTAAACCCTCTAAAACCCTAAAAACATCGGAACCCAGACCCTCTGGCCAGCCGTGGGGCATGGGCGCTTTGCAGGCCACGAAGTCGATGTCCATCGGCTGGATGACCGCTGAGCGCACTGGCATGCCCACCATGACGCCTAAGGGCGGCAAAATCTGCTCACTTCGACCCACCGAGGCGAAAATTTCTCAGGCGAGCTGCGAGTCGCGAGCTCGATGAAGTTCACGTTGTAGGTCTTGGAGATGAAGGGCATGGACCGCGAGGCCCTCAAATTGCACTCCTCAGTCAAGAACTGAGGCATGCGTGCTCTTGCACTGACAACGATCTCCCGTGGACCGGTAGCGCTGATGGCGGCGAAGGCGCAATGACCTTCACCTCGTTGTCCTTGCAGATGAACTGGATGTTGAAGGGTCCCGAAATCTTCAGAGCCTTGCACAGCTTTTGCGAGATACCTCCAGGCCGTGTGCAATCAGAAGTAATCAGACAATCTGTCAGCACATGGTCAGACATTGCCACACTATCAGCATAGGGCGCATCCTGCGACCGAGCCGCTCTTCACCTTGCGGTGCGTCTCCACGAAAAGCCGCTGCGCCGGCAGCAGGAGGGAGGCATCCCCACTGTGCACGCCGGCGTTCTCGATGTGCTCGGCGATCGCATAGTTCACGAGCCTCACTTGCAGATTGCTGGCTACCACATGTCATGATACCATGCTTGGCTGGCTTGGCTTCGAGATGTATTGACAGAGATCGACAGCTGAGGGCTTCTTACACCTCCTCCCAAACTTTAAAGTTTTGAGATCCATAAGCTGCCGAGCGGCTCGCCGGCTCTGCCCACGGCATCCAGCTCCACCTCCTTCGCACCGGTGATGTACTTGGAAATCACTACGGGGTGGTCGCGGCTGACCACGGCGGCCGTCTTCAGGAAGACTTCGAGCTCGGAGTCGTTGGTGACCACGCGCATGGCCGCGCCACTGAGCACGTAGGAGGGCCGGACCAGCACCGGGAAGCCTGCGGATCGACAGAAGTTGCGGGCCTCCCCCAAAGTCTCGAACTGGGACCACTGAGGCTGGTCGATGCGAAGCTGATCACAGAGCTGGCTGAACTTCTTGCGGTCCTCGCATGTGTCGATGGCCTCAACGGAGGTGCCCAGAATGCGCACGCCGCAGTGGTGCAAGCCGAGGGCCAAGTTGTTTGGCGTCTGCCCGCCCACGGACACCACCTGGGCACAACCAGCAGGCCGAACTAACGCAATCAACAGCTGAACTGCCGAGAATCATGCATGTGTAAACAGATATATGTGGTCCCGTCGACTACACTTTCTGCCAATTGCCAATCTGTGTTTGCTTTTGGATTGAAGTTAAGAAGTGCCCAGCCGCCATACCCCGCGGCGTCTCCAACTCTGCGATGTCCAGCACGCGCTCGTGGCTTAGCTCTTCGAAGTACAGCCGGTCGGACTCGTCGAAATCCGTCGACACAGTCTCGGGGTTGCAGTTCACCACCACGGCCTTGTGACCCAACTTCCGCAGCGTGCGCACGCAGGAAACGCTGCACCAGTCGAACTCCACGCTGCTACCGATCCTGTAAGGCCCGCAGCCCAAGACCACCACCCTGGACTCCTTCTCCGCCTTCTGGCTCTCTGGGGTCTGCAGTGACATTGGCTCCGGTATGGACGGCTGCAGTGACAGCGGGGGCAAGCAGTCGTCGTCTGTGGGCGCCTGGCTGCCGGGCAGCTCCACATCGTGTTCCTCGCCGCTGTAGGTCAGGTAGAGGTAGTTCGTCTCTGCCGGGAACTCTGCCGCCAGCGTGTCGATTTGCTTTACTTTGGGAACTATGCCCGCACTCCTGCGCAAGTGCCGGATGTGGGCCTCTGTCACAGGACCGCCGGTGTAGCGGCTTGCCCCGAAGTCCGTCGGCAGCAGCCGAGGGGACATCTCCATGTGCACCAGCGCTGGAGCCGAGACCAGCGCTGCAATCTGGCAGTCCGAGAAGCCGCGGCACTTCGCCTGAAACGCACCACGATTCTAAGCCAACAGAACACCGACAGAGCAACGCGCTCCGCAGGTTCATGATCTCAGAGAGCCGGCCCCCCCCCCTCTGCCGCGCCTCGCGCAGGACCGCGGGATGGCTTCGGAGCTCGTAGAAGTCCATGAGACGCAGGGCCACCTTGAGCTGGTGCAGGCCATGGAGCTTGGCCAGGAACCAGCGGTCGATGTTGGTGAGGCGATGGACATCCGCCACGTCCATGCCAAGCTCGAAAGCCTTCGCAACAGCCCAAAGCCTTACCGGGGTGGGGTTGCTGAGCTCCTTCTTCACCTCCTTCTCCAACTCCGGCCCCGGCAATGCACTGATCCCTCGCCTTTCCAGCTCAATCTCATAGCGCGCTGGGTCGAAGCCTGGGCTTGCCTCGTCAACCATGCGCAGGGCCTTTTGGATGGTCTCCTCGAAGGTTCGGCCGATGGCCATGACCTCACCCACGCTCTGCATGGCGGAGCCGATGCGGGCGTCCACCGTGGAGAACTTCTGGAGGTCCCAGCGGGGCACCTTGGCTACCACATAGTCCAAAGATGGCTCGAAGCAGGCAGTGGTGCATCGTGTCACGCTGTTGCGAAGCTGCGCCAAGTCATGGCCCAGCGCAAGCTTGGCAGCCACGTAGGCCAGAGGATACCCCGTGGCCTTGGAGGCAAGGGCACTGCTGCGCGAGAGCCTGGCATTCACCTCGATGATGCGGAACTGAGAGCTTTTGGGATCGACCGCATACTGGATGTTGCATTCGCCCACGATGCCCAAGTGCCGGATGATCTTCAAGGCACACTGCCGGAGCCGGTAGTACTCCTCGTTGTTCAGCGTCTGTGAGGGTGCGATGACAATGGACTCGCCTGTATGGATGCCCATGGGGTCCAAGTTTTCCATGTTGCACACCGTGATGCAGTTGTCGTTCTTGTCTCGCACCACCTCGTACTCCAGCTCCTTCCAACCCTTCAAGGACTTGTCGATGATCACCTGGGGGCTGTTGACCAAAGCCACCGTCACCAGCTTCCTAAGCTCGTTCTCGTTGTCGGCGAAGCCGCTGCCCAGCCCGCCAAGGGCGAATGCGGCCCGCACCAGCACCGGGTAGCCTGGCCGAGCCGAGCTACGGAATCATGGTTGGGGTATGCTGGGGCCTTCCCCAGCAAACTAGGCTGTCTGAACTGCCGCACAAGCTAGAGCGAAAAGGCTTTCCAGAGTCTGGCGCCGGGCAACCAATCTGCTCTGCGGCATGGACTGCTTCCGCCACCGACCCGCAGCAGCTGCTCTCGGCGATCCGCTCGCCGCAGGCGTCCACCACCTCTTCGAGTTGAACAACAGTTACCAGAATGGCTGAAGCTGGTGCCGTCTAGAATCTACAGTAATCGATAGAGTCTGCTTGGGAGCAATTATACACAATTCCATATGCGTGAGGCATTGTTCTCCCTGGCTGCGTCGGCTCCCTCCCGCCTGGCTGAAGAGGTCGCGGTCCTCCGTCTTGATGATGGCCTCGATGGGGGTGCCCAGCACCTGCACGTTGAAGCGATCAAAGACCCCCTGCTCGTGGAGCCTGCACGCGCAGTTCAGGGCCGTCTGGCCGCCGAAGGACACGAAGATGCCGTCCGGGCGCTCCCGGTCGATGACCTTGGTCACGAACTCAGGGGTCACAGGCAGGAAGTAAACGCGGTCCGCCATGCCCGCAGAGGTCTGAACGGTGGCGATGTTCGGGTTGATCAGCACGGACATGATGCCGGCCTCCTTCAGGGCCTTCAGCGCCTGGCTGCCCGAGTAATCGAACTCTCCTGCCTGGCCGATCGTCAGACCGCCGGAGCCCAGCACCAGCACCTTGCGATAGCTCAGCGGCAGGGAGTAAGGGATGGTCGTCACGGCCGTGGAGGCGGGCTCTGCGATGAACTGCAAGAACTGCTTGAAAAGGAAGTCCGTGTCCATGGGCCCGCCGCAGGCCTGCAGCAGGACAAGAGCGGAAGAAGAGGGTATGCCTAGGGCAACTATTGCAGGCCTCGGGGTGGAACTGGACGGAGAACCAGGGCCGTGAGCTGTGGATGATGCCTTCGTTGGTGCCGTCGTTCGCGTTGACCATCAGAGGCACCCAGCCGGTGGGAAGGGACTGGGCGTCTACGGCGAAGCCGTGATTCTGAGCAGTGATGTAGCAGCGCTGCGTGCGGAGGTCCACGACGGGCTGGTTCATCCCACGGTTCCCGAACTTCATCTTGAAAGTCTTCGCCCCAGCCGCAAGGGCCAAGATCTGGTTGCCCAGGCAGATGCCGAAGATCTTGGCTCAGCTTCGTCTTTCAGAATTTCACGGAGCAGAAGCGAGAGAGAGAGAGAGAGAGAGAGAGAGAGAGAGAGAGAGGAGGAGGAGAGACAACGAGAGAGAGAGTGAGAGGGAGAGAGCTTGTATGGAGACGGAGACGAGAGATGGAGAGCGAGGAGATCGGGAGTCGCCTCTTTTCTTGTGCGGTTCCATTTGCAGGCTTCACTTCTGGACTCGCCTAGAGCGTTGAAGAGCGGCCCGCAGACCCCCCATCGGATCAGTGCAGCCTTGGCACGGGTGTGTTGGGGCGCTGCTGCATCACCGTCCTCACATGTCGGATCGTCTGGGCGCACTGGCTGGGATCTCCAGGACCGTTGCTGAGGAAGAGGCCATCGAAGTGGTCCTGGGTGAAGTCGTAGTCCCAAGGAACCACGGTCAGTCGAACCCCAAGAGCCACCAGGCAGCGGATAATGTTGTTCTTCATGCCGCAGTCCACGGCAATGATCTGCACCTCCTTCTGGCCCTGCGCTGCCTGTGCGAAAGTCTGCTTCTGAGAGCGGGAGACCTCCGCCACCAGGTTTCTTGTGTTGGGGTCCTCGAAAGGAATGGCGGGATGGCAACCGTCGCTGCCGTTCACCAATAGGCGGCCAAGCATGGCTCCCTCCTGGCGGATGATCTTGGTGATCATGCGCGTGTCCACGCCGTAGATGCCCGGCACACCCTGGCGGCTTAGCCAGTCCCCCAGCGTGCGCACGCAGGAGTAGTGAGAGGGCTCATAAGAGTAGTCCGAGATCACCACGGCCTTCACGTGGATTCGGTCGCTTTCGAACCACTTCGACAAGCCCAGGTCGTCCGGGTCGTCGGAAGGGATCCCATAATTTCCCACGAGTGGGTAGGTGAAGACCAGGATCTGACCTGCATAGGACGGGTCCGTGAGGGACTCCGGGTAGGCCACCATGCCCGTGTTGAAGACCACCTCGCCAGAGACCGACACCGGAGCTCCGAAGGAGAAGCCTCGAGACTCAAGAGAAACGCTTCCGAGACACAGGACTGAGGACTTCCAGTAGGGGACTTCTTCCCCTATAGCCTATAACATTTAACCGAGGGGCCGGTCAGAACTGTCCCTGCGCTCAGCTCAAGCGTCGCACGGCGACGGGCATTCAGCCAGTTCTGGAGCGCACCGGCCTGGGACCGCTGGGTGCATCGACGTGCAATGAGCGGTAATGTCTCTCTCAGGCCTGACAGGGCTTCGTGTCGATGGGCGCCAGCACCTCGAAATCATCTCCGTCCCAGGCTGTGGTGGCCATGCCTGCCCGACATGCAATGCACAGATTCCGATCTCAGCAACCGGCATCCAAGACCTGCCTTCGAAAGTTCTCGGGAGTGGCAGCAGCTCCGCTGCTGCACGGCAAATGTTGAGCACGAATGGCTGCAAGTGCGTGAGCCATGAGCCCGCCGATGTTGCCTAGTCAACTGGCAGGCTAGCACCTCTGGGGGCAGTTTCATGCAGGTTCCACTGTGATGCTATCGCCAGGCCTAAACCCTAAACCCCTGAAGCTGGGGATTCGGAATTTGGAGGACCATACAACCTACACACTACGCCTTCCTGCTCTCCGCTTCTCGATGAAGCTCTCGACCGACTCAACGAGCGAACCCAGGTCACCTGCACAGCCAGCACAATCCTTCCGGTGGGCTACTCATGCATGCATCGGATCAAAATACCCTGGCCAAAAAACTTCGGCTATTTAGTTTAAAGATTATCAACGACTACCCTTGCGATGATTGATGTAAGAAACATAGCTGGCATTGAGTTGATCATTGCTTGCGCTTGTGCTTCGCATGGTGCGTTTTAGGAGACCAGCAAGTGCCAGCAAGAAACCACAAGGAGACCATCAAGAGAGACCACCACGAGATCATCAGGAGAGCCAGGAGACTGCAGGAGACCAACGGGAAACAGAAGACCACCAGGACACCACCAGGACCCCACTGCGACACCACGGCCAAGATGCTTCCTGTCATGTACTGCCAGGATTCACAGGAAGGCCTTCTCCCATCGCATTCAGGAGCCGAGCAAAAGTATTTCCCAAGCACTGCGGATCAGGAGCACGGGCGGCAAATGCTTGCCCTATTCAGGGCTGCTGCGCTGAGATTTAGGAAGAGCCTGCCAACTCCTACTCCTACTATGCTCCGGCTACTGCTACTCCTGCTAATTGCTACTGCTACTGCTGCTACTATTGCTACTACTGCTACTCCCGCTGCTACTCCCGCTCCCTCCTACTCTTACTCCTACCCCTACTCCTACTCCTACTCCTACTCCGTTCCGTCCAGAGGGCTTCGATCGTCGGGAGGCAGTTGAAGAGCCCAGCAGTCGAAGAAGGGTCTTGGCTTCGGATGTACGAGTTCAACACTGTTTTGGCTTCGGGTGCTGTGGCGTTTCTGCCTTAACGGCTCTGGCGACATCGGCAGCTGGTGATCACACATGCGACCCACCCCTTAGGCAGCCCAACATCACTAGTTGCTTTGCCACAGGGAGAGGAATTTTCAATCGCAACCGCAGTTCAATGGACGAGTTGAAGGCAAGTGCACATCTCGATACCCCTTCAGTGTCACACATATTTCTAATTCTGCCAGCCGGACACTGCTCCACAGATTTAACAGCAATGATTGTGCCTCTAACGTGCGGCATCTGTAGTATGTAAATAAGTTCATCCTTGTTCTGCATGCTGGGCGCACGCCTGGACTCCAAACTTCCCACCCTCAATACGCGATGCCCCTCGCGAAATTACAGAACTAAGTCCTCTTGTCGCCTGCCTATGCCAAGCCCTACACCTCAAAGGGCTAACTAACTCAGAATCAAAGGGCTCCAGTCGGCGGAACTGGTCAGACGTCCTCCGGCTGGCACCGTCGATACCTCTAGCTGAACTCGCATCGTCAACAATCTTGAATGCTCCGTAGCAGGACGAAGCAAGAGTGGCGCCGTCGTGCTTCTGTGTCAATGTCACGTAGAGTGAAGAAGCTTGACCTGTTCGTCCTCTAAGGGACAACGTGCCTACTTGGCAGCCCTTGGCGTCGACATGCAGATATACTATTCTTGTTCGAAACACTTGAGAGCACGGTAGCGCCTGGCAGAAAGACCAGCAGCGGCTTTGAGCTCGGCTGAGACTGCTCTTTGCTTTCTCCTCCCCCATCCCGGCAGTCGCGATCTTTCCCACAACTCTAAACTCTAGGATCCGCCACTTCCTACAGCAAGGATTCTGACCATCACGAACCCGAACCGAATGACTCCAGTTGGCATGTCTACGTGACCTGCCACACCCAAGTACCACCACCTCAAACGGGACGGATTCCATGTGCCACGAGCATTCCTTTGAGGGGAGACAGACGCGAACGTGCACGTACATCATGGCTGCAAGCAGTGGTGGATTCCCTTATTTGTCCTGTCGGGCATGCGCTCTCGTAAAGAACTCAGTTCCGCTCGCTACACGTTCATTGACGCCTCATGGCCCTCCCTCATCGACTGACAGACCGTTGCATATGCCAGGTTCAGCATCTGCATGTGAAATCAGCACAGGAAGGGGAAAGCAAGTTTTGCAGAGGAAAGCCTCCTCAGAATTCCGAATGCCGCGGCTCTATATGGTTCTGCTCAGGTAACCGCAACATGGGACCTAAGAACTAAGCCGGCTTACAGCAACTTGCAAAGCCGCTCCTGGTAGTAGACCGGCACCTTAGCATCAGTCGCGAGTGTGACACTCCTGGAGGGTTTTGCAGGGGTTGGGCCCTACAAGACGAATGGCGAGCCGACAAGTACAAAGCACCATGTCGCAGATACCTCCCTCCCACTCGAGATCTGAACATCTTATGCCTTCAGCTGGTGGCCTTGAAACCTTCAGGGCTCCAGATCAAAATGCCCTCCCTGGAGTTTTCGACGCGGTGCGGTGGAAGCTCACCGCCCGGTGCACGGTCTTGGCCTGAGGCCTTCGACCTCCAACACCGGCAAAGCCTCCGCAGTTTGGAGAATTCGAGCTTCTGCTTCTGACATTTGCCGCAACGGTTCTCTGTTCGGAGAAGCCGTACCAACTTCCTGCTCTCTGCACAGTGATGCTTCAGGGTCCGTGAGCTTCAGTCTCCTTCGACACCTAGCAACTACATTAAAAAGCCAGACAGAAGAACCTACCACGGCTTGGCTATGCCTTGATACGTTGGGTGTTCTTCCCTGAGATGAAGGTCGCACTCTTGTCAACTTTCATTGAACCCCAAGCAGCCTCACAACAGATCATGCTTTCCATCCTCAGCCACCACCATCTCTAAACCTCCGCGCCCATCAGGACCATTATCAAAATCACATTGGGTCATGAGTGAAATCTAAGCCATAGTCGTCACAACATCCTGAACATTTTGGTTATTACTATCATCACTAGCATTATCATAAAAAAAGGGGTATGCCCAATATCCTCTGCGTGTCGTAACCACCCTAATTAATCATCATCACCACCACCATCATCATCATCATCGGAATCGGTAGCAGCAACTGCATCTTCTGCTTCACCCAACAACATCGTCACAGTTATCGTCATCGTCGTTGTCGTCATCACGTTCGACATCACCATCGGAGAATCGCAACATTGTCGTCACTGCAGTCACTGCAGTCGCATCGATTTCATCGCGTTCGTCTTTGCCGATGCATCGGCAGCATCATCGTCACCGCCACAATGCAAAAATCCTTTCAAAACAAATGGACGCGTGGGTCAGTAAACCAGCAGGCAGACAAATTCAGATACATGGCATTTCTTGCACCACAAGCAGAGTGAACGGTCGCCAAGGCAAAGCATTACCGCTTTAAGGAAGTGAGTTGACGCTATTTCGATATTCGAGGACTGCCGAGCACACGACCAAGGACCTGCCTTGCCCATGCAGCAAGGCCAGGCCCAGTGCTCCCAGCACCCACGCGAGGAGCCGCACACGGGACCATGGTCGGGCCATGGCGACTGGTCGTAGTAGCAACAAAGAGTTGCCCAAGCAAATGCCATGTCTGGGGGGTATCTAATGCTGAGGGGCTATCTGTGCTATCGCAGGCGTCTTGATATGGCTTCAGTCGGAATACATAGCCTAAAATTAATGAAAACACTAGAACAGGAAAACTAGAGACCAGAATAAGTTGGCCAACCCGAAACATGAGAGAATCAACAGTCTTCCTGGGCATCTCAAGATGCTAGTCGCTGCAGATCGTGGAAGGGCTTGGGGTGGCGGCTTCGCTTGTGTGGTTCCATGTCCAAGGATGCTGTCCCAATGAAGATGCATGAGCCGATGAAGCGTCGACAGGTCGCCTTCCGTAAAATCCCACGCAAGATTGTGCAAGGAGCTATTGGGCGACAACAAAAGCCCGGCCCAGGCAGTTCACACACAAACCTGAATGCTCGTCACGAGCCAAACCCAGCTGTTCTTCATGTCGGCCTGCCTTCCACCAAAGATGTCCGACTTGAAAGTTCCACACTGTTGCTTCTCAACTGCCGTGTCACTTTGAAAAACACGCACATGCACGGAAAAGAATCTGCCCAAAGGGTGGACCAGGCCCGACACACAGCACTCCTCCTCCTACTACTACTGCTGCTACTACTACTACTCCTCCTCCTGCTACTGCTACTACTGCTACTACTACTACCGCTACTACTACCACTACTACTACCACTACTACTACTACTACTACTTCTACTTCTACTTCTACTTCTACTTCTACTTCTACTTCTACATCATACTACTACTACTACTACTACTACTACTACTACTACTACCACCTGTGAGTGCACATACATGTGTCAGGGCATGTGCAGCTGTCTCTGCAGAGCTGCTTGTAGTTCTGTTTGCATGTTTGTGTTTTAATTCGATA